GCATGAGAAATACTCAATGAGCAAGTATTTGTTGCCTTGCGCGGAAGTTGGACTGAGAATATCGAGGGCAACCGGCTCGTTGATTCGTGACGCCTGAATGGATTGCAGCGGACGGCAACAAGATTTCACCAGTGGCTTCCGCCGCCACATTGTACGCAATCTTTAAGCAAATTTTCAATGTCAGGGGCCATGTACGGCCAAGAAATATCCAACTTGAGCGCAGCCAGCGTTTTTTGCACACCCAGATGTAACAGACGTTTATGGACGGCCCAAACAACCTCGCCACACAGAGTGGTAGGGACAACAATAGCGTTCCAGCGTAATCCACCATCCCAGTGCATGAGCAGCCCGTCCTGCAGGACAACTGAGGTGACACCACGTGTAGCTGCCTCACCGTAATTTAAGCTAGAACGCATCTTCCGCCTGCAAGCGACCCCACACCTCGTAGTCCAACCCGATTACCGCATCCTGCACAACCGGGACGTCGCCCGACCCACCCATCGTGTCCGCGGTGGACACAACAAGAGGTGGGGGGGGGGGGGGAGGTTGACTCGGCTGGTCTACAACGACCGGAACCCGAAAAACATGCACACCCGCCGCCCGCGTTCGTGTGATGAGAACCTTTGCGATACGTAACATGGAACGAAAAATCCTGCAGGGTTTCAAGCCAGCGTGGTAATTGGCCTGAGGGCCGATCTACACGCAGCGCATATTGGAGCGCTGCTTGGTCGAAGCACAACTCGAAATGTCTGCCGTACAGATAAGGCGGGTATTGCTGCACGAAAACAACAATGGCCAACAATTCTCGGCACGTAACGCAAGTACCGCTGCTCGGACGGGGACAGCCCCCTTCTCCCATAAGTGACTATGTGCTCCACGCCATTGACAACTTGAGATAATACCTCTCCAATACCGGTATTACTGGCGTCCGTATCCAAACGAATGGGAATTAAAAATTGGGATAACGCAGGGGAGGGGCGTTGACCAGCCCATCGTGAATGGAGCGGAACGCGGCTTCCTCCTCCCCCCAATGAAATTTTCACCCCTTAGCAGTTAAGGCGTGGAGAGGCTTAGCAATGGATGCAAAGCTGGTGACAAATCAGCAATAATACGAAGAAAAACCAATAAAACTGCGCACCTCGCTCGCCGAGGTGGGTGTCGGCACGTGCGGACACACGCCGTCTTCTCCGGGTTCGTAGCGATACCCGATTCACTCTCTATGTGACCCAAATATTGAACCGATTTTTGGAGGAGGTGACACTTCTGTGGTTTAAATTTCAGGTCGGCCGCAGGCATCTTAAGAAAAACAGCCCACAGGCGAGCCAAATGTTCATCAAACGTACGACCGAAGACAATAATGTCCAAATATATTAGGAACGAATCCCACTGGAGGCCCACTATAACCAGCTCCATCAGCCTCTGAAACGTGGCCGGCACGGAGTGGAGGCCCACAGGGAGCCAGTTAAATTCGAACAACCCTTGCGGCATACGAAAGGCCGTCTTGGGCTTGGAAGCATCATCGAGCGGAAATTGCCAAAATTCCAATAGAAGGTCAAAGGTGGAAAAGAACTATGCTCCTGCCAGGGCGTCCAGGGAATCGTTCATATGCAGCAAGGTGTATGCTTCCGCGACGGAAACCTTATTGAGCTTGCTGAAATCAACACAAATCGCAAGCTGCCATCGTGCTTCTTGACAAGCAAGATTGGGGCACCCCATGGACTGGTGGATGGTGAGATGATGTCCGCGGCCATCATCTCATCAACCGCCACACGAATGTGTTCCTTCTCAGCCGGGTTGTAAGGATTTTACTGAATCGGGGCAGCATCGCCTGTATCAATATGGTGGCTCAAAAGGGACGTACGGCCAATATCAAATTTGATTTTACTAAAAATGTGAGAAAATTCACGCAAGAGAGCACGCAGCTTCCCTCTTTGTCCCATAGATAAATCGCCGCACTCAGAGAAATGTTTACCAATCCATTCCTCGTCCACATCCCGGACACCGTGAGCTTGAGCACCGACCCCGACACTTCCCACAACGTCCCTTTCTGGACGTGCCAACGAAGCATGTGCCAATACAGTACTCTCCTGGATGACCGTTGTGTCCGGCCCGGCATTAAGAACCTGAATGAAAGGTTCTTGGTCCTGGGATACCAATGTCTGGGATGCCACTAGCGACATACCGCGATTAAATTAGTGGAGGGCTCCAAAACAACACCCTCATCCGCAATGTGCACATCGAGTGGTTTTCACAACCAGAGGGGCATTAACATTTGTGCGCCAGGCGGAATCCGCACTGTTCGGTACACCATAACCTGCACCGTCCCGTTAGCGGAAGACATACCAGTCAGCGGTGGAAGAGATACCATACGCCGCCCCGATGGCAATTCCAGACAGCCCTGACTAATACAAATCTTCAGGGGCATCTTGCCCAGAAAATCAGTCCTGAGCAAACACGGGATGGCTAGGGCCGTAGAAACCAGAACGTGGCCCGACAATTTGACATCGGTGATACGCAACTCCGCCATTGGCGGCAAAACACGGAGCATCCACAGGTTCCAAAACGCGACACCAGGGAGGTTAATTAAATATAAGTTCAGAAATTATTCGGATTTCCACTCCCTCAATAAACCTGAGCATGGCCGACAAACCCGCAACCGCCACGGCCACTCGATGGGCCAACTCCGACCACTGATCCGGTGGGAGCAGGCACGCGTTACGAACACGTCCCGACTCCCCCCAAACCCGCGCACAACCCCGACCCAAACCGGACCCCCCTGATGGGTGAAGTGAACCCTGGGGCCGAGTGTGGCATGCGCTGCAACTCGCCTTATGAAGCAGGGAGTCGTAGGAAGGTGGACTTCCCGGGGGCTGCCGTCGAGGAACCCGACAGCCCGATTGGACGTGCCCTGGCACGCCACAGTTGTAGCAGAGGACCCGGTCACTCCTGGACTGGGACGATGAAGACCTCACCCGTCGTCGGGCGGCCCTCCGCCGATCATCAGCACCCCGATGGACGCCAAACCACTGGTGCAGTGAGCATGCAGGAGCAGGCTCGGTCTCTGCGCAGGCCTCCGACTCTGTGGAGGATGTTGCGCGTGCCACCAACACCCTGTCGTGGCGCAGGGTCTGCTGCGCCTAGATGCACCTGGCGACCCAGAGTGAAGACACCGCATCGTCCTTGGCGGGAAGCACAGTGTGGAGGTCTTTCGAGACTCCCAGCATCTTCTCGAGGACCAAGGCATCAAGACCGTCGTGGTCCATTTTAGGGAACGCGGCCTTTGCTAGCACCAAAAGCGCGCTACAGTAGGCGACAGCCGACTCACCCTCCCCTTTACGTCTTATGGCGAACTTTTGCCAAGGCATCGTCGTCGAGGGTGGCGGGCAGCGCTTTCAGCGCCTCCACCTCTGTCGATCTCGCCAAGTCGGCATTGGTGAGAAATCACCGCTTAAACGCTACCCAATCGCCGCTGGCAGCAACAAATTATTTAATGAAGGGCAGTCGGTGGTGGAGTGACGGGATGTCCATCGGCGAGGACAGCTCCGCTTCGAGATTGGCGGACTCCGTACTGGCGGTAAAATGGCGGCCGCGAGTGTGGGTTGCGCTGTCGATGTCCCCGCCCTTTGTGAAATGGCGGCCGAGTCGCTTCGTCCAGACGACTCCGCCGCTCCCTCCTTCACCGCAGCAGTTAAGAGGACGCAGCTCGGCGAGGATCAAGGACGCCGTCTGAAGACGCTCCGCAAGGTGACCGTGCGCATCTCTGATGAGCGCCTCCAATGATGGTGAGGCGCCACGCGCTCCGACGGCACTCTGCTCCGCTGGCAGCACCTCCGCTCCTTTATTGACGGCCGTGGGCGGAATCAGCTCTTCATCATCTTTGTCGTCTGACGTCCGTGTACGAACTCTGCGATGTGCAGACATGACTGTCTACCGCTATATATTTCCTAGCAAGTTGGCCACTTCCGACACCAGTTGTATGAGTCCAACTGAGTCGCAGATGTTGTCTTAGGGAGCAACACGTTTTTATTAAACTCTTAGCACAACATGCTCCAGGCTATTAACACAACATACTCTCGGGTGGTGACCACCCAACTAACCACGCTACGGTGGAACTAGACACGGTTCCACTAACCTGGTCCGAACCACAAGCTGGGTCCCGGACCGCGTGGCTGGAGGCTTCTTTAAGCTTGACGTGGATCTCCTGCCTCTCCAACAGTAAGAACCCCGAGCCCCTCACAGGGCCCCCCTTATATCGGGCCAGGCTGGGGCTGGCTCTGCCTCTCGTCTCACCCACCTTCTCGAACTCTCTCGCCCTTGCCCGAAGGCTCTCGAGAGTTCTTCCTGGACCATGTGACCACCCATTGGCCCCCTCTACCGGTGGCCCCCCTCCACGTGTTCCCAGGTCAGCCAGAGTATCATGCCCCCAATGTAACCCTTGCTGGCTGACATTCTCTTGCTCTCTAAACGGGAGCCTGCACCACACGCTGTGCGTGGTGCCTCCGTGTTTAACCAGCGCTCACCCAAGCCCCTACTAGGGCTGCTACTACACCCTGTGCCCGGGGTGTACCCACAACAGTAGACATCCCGCCGTAGCTTCGCCGGCCCGGCACCACGCAGTGACATTTCCAGTCACTACACGTGTACTGGTCCTACAGCCAAGTGTGGCCATGGCAGTTTGTGGCAACTGTTGCCAGGTGGGGTAGGGATGAGCATTGAGACAATTATAGTGTGGGAATCTGAACCACATATTTAGTTGCCACACCCAACAAATGAAAAAAATGCCCTACCATATTAACGTTGAATCATAAGTGTACCCAGATATTATCACTAAAATAAAACTGAATTCGACTTGCAAAATAGTATGATGTAACTGAACCTCCACTTACTAGGCATATTAGTTTATAGCAAAAATGGTGTGTGTGGGATTTGGTTTGTGTTTAGAAATCCAACACAATGCCTGCCTGTGGGTCAAATATCACCCGCACTTCTGGAGTGAGGGGATGTGGCTCTGCTGCCAGCAAACTGCAAGGAATGCCATCGGCTGCACGGAGTACCAGCGCATGAGCAGAGCTGGTGAGTCACTCGTGCATCCTTTCCCATTGCGATGCCCTTCTGGGATCACGCTGCTGCTGTTTGCCATTCTATAATCATCACCTAGATCTGGAAAAACGCTGGCGAACAGAGTGGAATAGTGTGGATGTCCAGAATCAACACCTCCTCGTCAGAGACCCAAATAATATCGCACCTCCTGGCTTTGACATTCCTCCTCAAAGACACTGGAATAATCAGCAATCACGTCAGAACATCAACAGGGTGATGCGCACATCTCCTTCCTAACTGGGACATTAAAGACAAACCACAGGAGTGCGATTGTGGCCATGCTACCCAAATAGTGGACCACGTAGTAATTCACTGTACAGTCGTCTGCCTCTACCTCCAATGGAGGAATAGCAAAACTACACGAACTCTCTTCTGAAGCGTTCTTGTGGCTAGCAGACCTCCACATTGGCACTCAGCTCCTGAATACATTGCTGCTATACGAAATGGAATTTTAAAAATACTGTATCTTACCAGGTTAGGTCCACAGAGCTACAATGCTTTTTTCCAGAAGTATCCTGGCCACAAATGATATCTCAACGAAGTGGCTTGCCGTGTTGATATATATAGCAGCCAAATACTCTAAACGCATGTTTCTAATTGTGGAGGGAAAAGTCAGAGGAACTGGAGAAAAATCCACACAACCACGGGGAGAGAGACATGCAAACTCCAAATACACAGGCGTCAAGGTCGGGATTGAACCCACGACCTTCTGTATACCAGGCGAGGGAGATAACATCTCGCCACCGTGGCGCCCCTATATAATGAGGCTCAGGCAGGTTAGAGTTGTCACCTATTCCACAGACCAAACCCAGATACATTTCTCAGCCAAGGTTTATCAAACTCATCAGTCACGCAGAACTCACTCACCAACCACTCAACAGGCAATGACCACTCAGCGGACACTCACTGGATACCTCTCACATTCACACGATATGTCAATCACCTGACCCTGGCCAGGCACTCGTGATCATGTTGACTTATGTTGACTGTCTGTCTTGAATACTTGATGTTCTAATATGTTCCTTATATTCCCTGTAGGTAACACAGCTGTCCCAAATAACTTACCGGTAAGTTCACTTTACTATCTGTGAATTCCCTTGGACGTGTTTGTTAAGACTTTTAATTGTAAACATTACACTGTCAACAGCTAATTGTTAAAAGTCATAAAGTGTTCATTGAATGGTAGGTGGTAGTAAAGTGTGAATGTAATTGAAATGCAGTGATTTGTCGTCTGCCGAACGTCCCTGGATTGGTGAGGCTCTCCCTGCCGCATCCCCCCGGCATTTGGTGACAGGAGTGACAGACGTTCTGCATCACCTATGTGCCACCTGGGCAAAGATGACAATCGGAGAGTCGTACCAATTACGGCTCAGTTGGTTACAGCTCAATCAGTTCCGATTCAATCAGTCACGGTTTAATCGGTTCTGGTTCAATAAGTTACGGTCCAATCAAATACAGTTCAACCGGTTACGGTCCAATCATTACGGTCCAATTGTTGACAGTCCATTCGGTTCAATATGGGTTGCATAGTTTGGTTGGGGTTAACCGTTAATAAAAAAACCGGTTTAAACCGGTTCAAAGATGTGCTCTAAATAGCATCATAGAAACTGCATTGTGGGGCACGGGGGGATGGGGATGTTGGTGGGGACCGTCGTTCAAGATGGGGACCATCCACGAGTAGTTATGCAACATTCCTCCAGCACTCCACCAGAAATGGCCGATATATTGCAAGGGATTGTCGTTAGTTACACTAGACTTGAGTTACAACATGGTGCATGTGAATTAATGACATTTAAAATATTAGCAAGAGGTACACATTCATTTGCATCCAGCAAAGATTCACCTAATAGAAATTGGGATGCTGCATTACTGTCAATCAATACTCTCTTTGCTGGCCGTGAGTATTGAACAATCCTCAAAATGCCCTTGACCACTGAGTCAGCTCCGTCTGTGCAGGAACACAATTACTCTTCTTATTTTATTGCCTGTTTGTGCATGGTGGGAACCCGAATTCAAGGACTACCCAGGCTGAGGTTGCCACCTGTCCGGGTGTTGGCATCATCTGTGTTTGGGTGGCAGGTATGTTTTTGTACTGAGATCTGGTAACCGGCGTGTGTTGGAAGTACACAGTTTGAATTTGTCTGTGGAAAAGGTAGCAACGCGTACCTCCAATGAGTACGGTTGGCTAGGTAAGGGGCAAAAGAAGTTCAACATACAACACAAAGGATAAGTCTGGGGTTCTTTACATGTGGAAGGCTGAACATATATTCTGATGGGCTTGAAGAATGTATTTTGTTTTTAAAACAAACGTGACGAAAATTGGAGATACTGTAATTAACAGGGCACATGGAAGACCAGAGAATGGGTTTATCGAATTCCATACAATAGATAAGTGGAGAAATTTTGATTTTCAAGTGCGTAATCGCACATTCATTGTTTATGAGTGAGTCAAACTGAGTCGCAGATTTTTCGATTTAAAGCTTTCGTGACTGCAGGGATTCATCTTCTTGGTTCTTTCGGTAAAGTCACGTAGAAGGGAAGTAATAAAATATTAAAAATAAAACATAATAAAACAATTCTCACGACGTTTCGGCCACAACGCAAGCAGCCGTCCTCAGGTGAAACCAGGTCTGTCGAGGCGACAGCGTCTGAATGAAACAGCACACGTGCTTGGAGCATATATATAAGCTGAGTTGGAAGGGGGGAAAAGAGTGCCTTGACAAAAGAATATGCATATCAAGAGGCATTTAGCATATTTATGGGAAATGCAGGTATGTGATTAGTACTACTCATGCCCGTGCATTATGCAGGATTAGCAGCATCAAAGGGAAGGGATATGGGAAATGCAGGTATGTGATTAGTACTACTTATGCCCGTGCATTATGCAGGATTAGCAGCATCAAAGGGAGGGGATAGGGGTAGCATTAATAAAGGGAAGGAGTGTTAATAGTATGTAGCTGCAGTAACTAAAACCACCACGTAAACAACTAAAGTCTAATCTTAATTTTGGAGCTTTCGTGACTGCAGGAATTATTCTTTGGTTTTTTCGGTAAAGTCACGTATAAAAATAAAATAATAAATTAAATATTTAATTTATTATTTTATTTTTATACGTGACTTTACCGAAAAAAACAAAGAATAACTAAAGTCTAAACTACATAGTATCATCAGTATGCTAAATATACTCTACAATAAGCTGAGTTACTAACAGTAAGTAATACATTACAATTCTATGTCGTAAAACATATATAATATGCTTCCATCTAAACTTTATTCTCTTGCATCACACGAGTCTACACTGTACTATATACTGCCATAGACAAACCCAACATTAAATTATATACTGTATTGCTATAAACCTTATACATTGTAATATTGCACTATGTATTATTCTACCCACCCTAATGTATAGCACACTGCTGTATATTGACTATACAATTACGATACTATATATTACTTTGTACATTGTATTAAGCATATAAATGTTATACTATTTGTTATTATACACTGTACCATTGACCGTCGTGCGAAAGATAATAAGAGGAAGCAACGAAATATGTCAATGGGTGAGTAGTGGGAAAACTTGCAGCGGAGCAAAGAATCCATTCCCTGCGGAGAATACAATGCCAGTGAGTGGAACGTGGTCTGAAAGTCACCGTAAACGTGAACACAATCAGTTAAGATCCGAAATGGTTTATTACGTCCTTCCAATGATTGCTAAGCCAGAATCCATCTTCTCGGTTGAAATTGTCTCTGTGTTTGTAAATGTGGATCGCCTCATGAACGAATCTCTCATGGTAGCCAGATGGCTTGCAGAGAACCTCTGTCTTGGAGAAGTCAATATCATGTGAGCCCACTGAATTGTAACAGTGATCTGCCACGGCTGAGGTGTTTGTCCTACCGTGTTTCAAGTCTGCTTTATGTTCACGGATGCGGTCCAAAGTTCCTGTACCTGACACCATCGCAATCATTGAAGACTTGGTTCATCAAGGACTGAACGCTGGGCTACCTCCCCCCTGGTGAGACACTGCTTAACCAATACATACTTCACCTGGAATGGAACTTTCTACAAGCAAACTGGGGGCACCCCAATGGGCTCCCCCTATCTCCGGTTGTAGCCAACGTGTTCATGAAGAAATTTAAGACTGACGCCATCCAGACTGCCACTCTACGCCCGACCTTATGGAAGAGGTACGTAGATGACACTTTTGTCATCTGGCCAAATGGCCGACCTGCTCTAGACCAATTTCTCGACCACATCAATTCCATACACCCAGCCATCAGATTCACCATGGAAGTCGAAAAAGATGGCAAGCTACCCTTTTTGGATGTCCTAATTAAAAGGAGACCTGATGGTTCAATGATCCAATCTGTCTACAGGAAAGCCACCCATACGGATGCTTACCTAAAACCGGATTCCCACCTGTTGTATGTGTTGGAATTATGAAATTTTGATAAAAATAATAAAAATTAATAATTTTCCGAAAAATGCGCAAATCGCATTAATTATGATAGTGTGTGTATTAATATGCATAAATTATGATAACCACGGAGATAATCGTAGTAATTTATGCGGATGCTTGCGATTATGTTAATGTGTGCAGTTGTGATAATAAGGCTTAGCTTCGTTTATCCAGAGTTATATCAATCAGGATAACACGATTATCATAGATTTATTTACCGATTATCCTAGTGTGTGTTATGATATTTTAGGTCTCCAGTTTCAGATCTCATCACAGGATACAGTTATCAAGAATAAGATAGTTTTGCATGGACTTGGAAAAAAGCACTCGAACAGTTGGTGTTAAGCAATTTTAATTCTAAACAAGCACATGACACTCTAGTATGCGAAAGCGAGTATACGTCAATAAATTAATGGGCAATCTTATGCAATTAACGAAATTGAATGACTAAAAATACTTCTTCATTGGCGAAATTATGCAGTTAACGAAAATGAATGACTAAAACATTTCTTATTCATGTAACTCGACGGCAGCAACTGCTTTGCACGATCAGTTGATATTGAACGCACCACCTCGAAATGGCAACCCTTTTTGAAACGCAAAGACAATTTTTTTAAAAGTCTTATTCGTGTGCGTGCTGTGTGTGCGTTGTCCCCTTGTAATATTAATTAATTCTTAGAGTCGGGAGTTGTGTCGTTAGCTTGTGTGGTGTGTGAAGATGCTCGGTCGCTCGTGTCGCTCGGTGTCGCTCGGTGGCGCTCGTTGTCGCTCGTTCGGAAGACTTTGACTCTCTGCTTTGCTCGCTTGGCGATCTCCGCCTTTCCTGCGGGTTGTTCGCTGGTCGTCACTCTGACGAGGAGCGATGCTTCGTTCGTGGCAGGGTGGACGTTGGCGTCTTTGTTGGCTTCACTCGCAGCTCGGCGACACAGGGTAGCGATTCTTCTCAGGTGGTGCAGACCTCGGCTTGTAGCTGTGCGTCGCTACCCCGCGAACCTCGTCATTCTGGATGACGAAAACTTCTTCGTTGTCGGCGTTGAGATGAGATGGGGCCCAGGGCCTTTGATGAGATGTGGTGGGGGCCGGAGCCCCTGACGATCTGTGGTGGAGCCCGTGGCCCGGACGATCTGTGGTGGGGCCCGTGGCCCGGACGATCTGTGGTGGGGCCCGTGGCCCGGACGATCTGAGTTGAATGGATTTTTCCCCGGCTTATATTGAGAAAATCCACTCAGTCTTCCCGAGTTGTTTGAAGGCCGTCATATATCTTTCTGTGGGTTGAACACATCTGCGTTCGTGTGTTTCGTGTGTCGTGTGCGTGTTAATTAGTAAAGATCCAGCTGTGTAACCATTCTGGGAGGAGGGGTGGGGAATGTTATTTTGCTTGCGTGTGTAAATCTTGCAGTCCGTGCTGCGGGGAGACAAAGGCGGCCGTGTTTAACTCCAACACGCGCACCCTCTCCTCTCTCCGCGTCTCTTGCGAGAGAAAACAAACAAAAAAACAGAGCGAGAAGAAGCAGACACCCCCGCGACCCCGTACGCGACCTTTCTTTGCTTGTCAGACCCCGCTGGAAGACAAAGGTGGCTGAGGAGATGTTTGCAATACATGT